GGTGTAATCGTGACAAAAATGAATATAATTTAAATTTGAAAAAAATGTTAAAATTAATTACAGAAATAGTAATCCGTTTGAATCAATGGATACTATAATAGAAGCAGAAAATAAAGAGTCGACGGATGGAAAGTCAGGAGCGGACGAGTCGGTCGAGTGTCCGATCTGTTGGTCTGCAATAGAGAACAAATGCCAAACCGATGGATGCGGTCATCAGTTTTGCCTCAAATGTCTGCTCGAATGGACCCGACATCAGATGAAATGTCCGGTTTGTCGACAAGACTTCCAAGCGATTCAACACTCATTCAGATCGGCCCAAGACTTCAACATTATATCACTTCCATCGCTGGCACTCATGAGACAAATCGCCGCCAGAATCGAGACCGAGAAGAGACGGATCGAGCGATTGGAGAGGGAGTTGACTGAAGCCGAGTGCCGACGGGTGCTGTCGGTCGAGACGCTGGACATGTTGTCTAATGTGAGCGCCAACACCAGTGAACAGGACTTTATGGAGATTTTTAATAATTATATGACAGAATACGGCACAGGCTTTGGGGCAGAGGCTCAAGACTACAATTCATTTACCTCGACGTCAGGACAGACTATTCGTCGCTTAACGCCTGAAAATGAGTCCCTGCGGGCCACTCCACTCTACAGTATACCCCACAGTTCAACCACCAGTGAACTCAGTGCACGCCTCGGTTCATCCTCTGAGGGAACTCCTCCCGTAGACGTCAGAGAGGTTTCCGTCCGTTCGCGCAGTTCTGAATTGAGCACCGATTCAACTGATATATAGAATCCTTCTATGGATTAAGACAGACATTACAAACATATACTGTATATGAGAAACAATGCAATTATTTGTCACAATTATATTTGAAATAAATTTATCTTGCATTCAAATTATATTCAATTATTCTCATCATTATTTTGAATGCATTTATAACCAAATATAATAAATAGAATATATTGTAAATTAAATAAATAAAATACAAAGAGATATTGTTAATCGTGACAAAAATTAATATAATTTAAATTTAAGAATAATGCAAAAAATTAATGACAAGAATAGTAATCCGTTTGAATCAATGGATACTATAATAAAAACCAAAGATAAAGAGCCAACGGATGGGCAGATGGGAGCGGATGAGTCGGTCGAGTGTCCGATCTGTTGGTCTGCAATAGAGAACAAATGCCAAACCGATGGATGCGGTCATCAGTTTTGTCTCAAATGTCTGCTCGAATGGACCAGAAGTCAAATGAAATGTGCGGTTTGTCGACAAGATTTCCAAATGATTCGACACTCATTCAGATCTGCGGAAGACTTTGACATTATATCACTTCCATCGCTGGCACTCATGAGACAAATCGCCGACAGAATCGAGACCGAGAAGAGACGGATCGAGCGATTGGAGAGGGAGTTGACTGAAGCCGAGTACCGGCGGGTGCTGTCGGTCGAGACGCTGGACATGTTGTCTAATGTGAGCGCCAACACCAGTGAACAGGACTTTATGGCGATAATTAATAATTATACGACACAATACGGCACAGGGTTTGGCACAGAAACTACAGACAACGATTCAATCACTACCCAAGAATCATTAGAGACAACATTAGAACTCTTGACGTATAATAACAATCTTTTAAGAGCAGAACTCATGGCAAATGATGTGAACGCGAGTCCACCCATAGCTGAGGCAAGTCTGGCCGAAGACAATGACGTTTCTGTCCGTTCGTCCACTTCTGGTTTGAGCGCCGATTCAACTGATTTACAGAATCCTAGTATAGATTAAGACAGACATTACACACGTATACTGTATATGAGAAACAATGCAATTATTTGTCACAATTATATCTAAAATAAATGTAATTTTCACTCAAATTATATTCAATTATTTTTATCATTATTTTGAATGCTTTTATAACCAAATATAATAAATAAGATATACTATAAATGAATAACAGAGAGATATTGTTAATCGTGACAAAAATGAATGTAATTTAAATTTAAAAATAATTAAAAATAATTAATGAGAGAAATAGTAATCCGTTTGAATCAATGGATACTATAATAATAACCGAAGATAAAGAGTCGACAAATGGGAAGACGGGAGCGGTTGAGTCGGTCGAGTGTTTGATCTGTTGGTCTGCAATAGAGAACAAATGCCAAACCGATGGATGCGGTCATCAGTTTTGTCTCAAATGTCTGCTCGAATGGACCAGAAGTCAGATGAAATGTCCGGTTTGTCGACAAGATTTCCAAGTGATCCGACACTCATTCAGATCTGCGGAAGACTTTGACATTATATCACTTCCATCGCTGGCACTCATGAGACAAATCGCCGACAGAATCGAGACCGAGAAGAGACGGATCGAGCGATTAGAGAGGGAATTGACTGAAGCCGAGTACCGACGGGTGCTATCGGTCGAGACACTAGACATGTTGTCTAGTGTGAGCGCCAACACCAGTGAACAGGACTTTATGGCGATAATCAATAATTATATGACAGAATACGGAACAGGGCTTGCATTGAGCGCTTCCGACTACATAACAACGAGTTTAGGCACTGAAGAGTTGATGAGTACGAGTGGTACCACTCTTTCTCTATCGGATTTTGGCGATAGCGATGATTACTTCGCTGACATCGAGTCCGATGTGATGCATGACTTGTACTCCAGCGACAGCGACGACCAAAGTGGCCGACTCTCGGAAACAAGTCTACTCTTCGCCCCTCCCTCTCTCTCCGAAGACGTGGGAACCGATAACTCTGACGATAGTGAAGACACTGAGAGCGGTACCACTCTTTCACTCGGTTCTAACACTTCTGAATTCAGCGCCCATTCGATGGCCTTTTGGGGTCAGTTTGTAGATTAAGACAGACATAACACACATATGCTGTATATCAGAATGCAATGCAATTATTTGTCACAATTATATCTGAAATAAATTAGATTTCCACTCAAATTATATCCAATTATTTGTATTGTTATGTTTAGTCATTTAACATCAAAAATGCTGGAAAATATAATCAAAGTTAATGTCTAAAAAGTTTCCTTTATTTCCTAAAAATATTCTGTAAATTAACACATGATTTAACTAAACGGGAAAATCGGGTTTTATAAATGCAATCATAGAAATAATTTCTTGTAATATAAATATAAAAATAAATGACATTTAAGGAAATTGTCTGATGCTTAACATTAACATTGCTAATAGGAATATGCCATAAGTACAACATTAAACGGACAATACAATCACACATTTAAATGTTTGGCAGAGTATAGGAGGGGTACACATTAACTTATAAACATTTTTCTAATTATAAAGAATTGTTGTTAAAATGAGTAAATGGGATATAAATGGGATATAAATTAATTAATTATAGATCGATATTATTGTTGTAATCGTGACAAAAATGAATATTCAGTTTGAATTTGAGAAAATTGATGAAATTAATGGCAGAAATAGTAATCCGTTTGAATCAATGGATACTATGATAAAAGCCGAAGATAAAGAGCCGACGGATGGGAAGTCGGGAGCGGACGAGTCGGTCGAGTGTCCGATCTGTTGGTCTGCAATAGAGAACAAATGCCAAACCGATGGATGCGGTCATCAGTTTTGTCTCAAATGTCTGCTCGAATGGACTCGAAGTCATATGAAATGTCCGGTTTGTCGACAAGATTTTCAAGTGATTCGACACTCATTCAGATCTGCGGAAGATTTCAACATTATATCACTTCCATCGCTGGCACTCATGAGACAAATCGCCGACAGAATCGAGACCGAGAAGAGACGGATCGAGCGATTGAAGAGGGAGTTGACTGAAGCCGAGTGCCGACGGGTGCTATCGGTCGAGACGCTGGACATGTTGTCTAATGTGAGCGCCAAAACCAGTGAACAGGAATATTATGATATATTCAATAATTATATGTCGGAATACAACACAACGTTCGCCACCGCTGGGCCTCCGGAGTCGACGGCGAGTGTCACTTCACTTATCTCACTGTCAAGTGGATCATCGTTCAGAACTCGTTGGACAGGCGATGGTAATAGTGATGATGAGAGCCTTCGGAGGGACTAGTGGAACACTATCTACGAATTGAATAGTCAAATACAGGCCAACGAATACGAGTTCAGTGCCGGTCCGGTCATCGGTGAGGGAATGGCCACCAATGAAGACAACCACAGCGAAAGCACCACTGAGACTGTTGTCCAACATTATTGACCACACGTGGGATGAGTGGACCCATCCATCAGTAGACAGACACATATGAGAAATAATGCAAATTATTTGTTACAATTATATCTGAAATAAATTTCATTTTCACTCAAATTATTCCCAATTATTCTGACTATTAGTTTGAATCCATTTATTGCCAAATACTCTGTGAGATAAAAGTAAAATCAATGTTTTCAAAGCACATTTCATATGAATTAAAACACAATTTTTAATTTATTCCGAAAAACGTTTTTTATAAATACAATAACAAAAAAATTAAATATAATCTTATATATCATAAAAAGAAAGACTTTATATAAATTTGCATCGATTTTAATCATAAAACAATTAAAAGTGGGACAGAATTGGGTTGAATTAACGTCAAAATAGGTTATAATTAAACTAATTCAGAGGCAATGCATTGTTAAGTGAATTAAAATCAATTCAAATAGAAAACCGATTAGAAATTTCACAGTATTTTTCATTGAGAAAAATATAATCCAATAACAAATTCTGTAATCAATCGGTTGTATAATTATATTTCACAACTTATTATTATTAACACATTATAATCATTATTATTGTTCAACATTTTGAGACTAATTAAACAATTGGAGGTTAGAAATGGTTTGTTTGGGGTTTGTTGTCATTAAAAAAGCGCTAGATAAGTAATCATTAATTCATTAAAATATAATATTTAACATTTAAATTAAACGTTCTCTATAATTGAGATAAAAATAACTATAAATCAATCAATTAATTATATAATTAATCAATCAATTATCTAAATTGTATATCAATTAGAGTCCCGTAGTTTATAGAATAGCATATATGCGCTTTTAGTGACCACTGTGTCCTCATCCACGGACTCGACCCGCGAGTCATCAAAACAACGCCAACCTATCGGACAAAACATATAAATTAGTACTAAAATTACGGCTATTGTCCACAGCATCGGACGAGCATTACTTATTGAGATAAATAATAACAAAATCATCGCCAAAAATACCTATATTCTTGTAATTATCACTTGTCTTGGCGTACGCCGTGTAATGGCCGCCAAACAGACCGCCGTAATGGTTGACCACTCCGTAGAGGTCGTAAACGGGCCGAAAGTCTGGATTATTATCGGTGCGGACGTAGTATTGGCTCATATCGAGGCCGTGGATGGGGTAGCGGACCATCGAATCGAGTTTCTCTCGCCAGAGAATGTTCCGAAAACTGAATCGTTTCAACTGAATCACCAGTATTTGCGGTAAACGCCATAAAGTGATCTGTTTGGTCGCCTGTTGGCTCTCTTTACACTTCGGACAATACCTACATTCAAATGGACATTCAATTAGAAATGCATACAATTGTGTCATCAAATCTGGTTTACAAACCATGGATTATCTGAAGTAAGTTTCTCGGGCTGTGTGTGAAGCCGCAGACAGTCGGTCAAATCCACCACTTCTTTAGTGTGACTATTGGTGTGCTTGTGATCAGTGATAGCGCAGAGACCCATCAGTGGCTCCACTTTCGCCCAATTATCGCCAAATTTGCGAGAATTAGTCCAATCCATGGCAATGTGATAGTGGTTTAGCGTGAGGTGTGTGTCGTAACCGTCATCATCGGTGGGTTCGATCGTGTTTTCGGTGTCCTCTTTGTTCCAATTCTGATAGAACTTCAGTTTGAATGGCGGCGGAGTCGGGAACTCATTCAGATTCAACGGCTCCGACAATTGCATCGAATGCCTGGCGTAAGAGTAGATGATTGTCCACAGCTGTCGGTACGTGAGCTGCGATTTGGGAACCGTTATGATGAACGGCGTGGCCGTTATCTCAGGCCTATACACGCAATCCTTCTTATGCGACGGCCAATGATTCTGTTGACACGTTCTGTCGGGACAGACAAACCAATCAAATCATATCATTTTAACAAAGAGTTAGATATGAGAAGAAAGTTGTGCCCAAAGAAAGCGGTCACTTACTTATCACAATAGGAGACCCGATGGCAAGTGAGGCACGCCTTGAGCTCTACGTTATCCCAACCGCTGTTTTTGTCACAATTAGCACAGGTGTCGCTCTTCGGGGGTTCCGCTAATCGCTAATTCATAAACACGACAGTCATTTAGAATTCATATAAATTGAGTCAATCATATGAAGAGTGGGGGCGATAGGAAAGTGTGGTCACATACCTGGATCACTACGTACTCCATTATCTCTTCGTTCGGTTCCGTCGCTACCATTAGTTCAAAAATTAGTAGATATTTGTTGACCTCAGGCTTATTGAGCGTCCAGTTTGGCTGAAGAAACTTCTCGATGGAACCCGAGTTTAGGCATTGAAGACATCGTAACTAAAAATGAAATAATTTTATAAATTGAGATAAAAGTGATAATTAGTTGTGACCGACAGCTGAGGCCTCGACTCCAGTAAGCGTTGAGATCTCGTCCAACATGTTCTTCACGACACAGTCTTTCGGCAATTTAAGCAAATACTTCGTTGGCCTCGAAGTCGACATTCCGTTTGCGTCTCGTTTGAAGAAATACACCTCATATTCGACTTTCGGTTTCGGTAACGGAAGGGACAGATAGACAAATGGATCAAATGTGACCGAAACCTGTTATAAGACATCAATTATATCAATAAAAGTTGACAATACAAGACAATGAAGGCCTACTTTAGCACATATGGGACACACGAGTTTGGACTTGTATTGGCCGTAAAATTGTTGCGTTACTATCGAGTCGTTCAAAAGGCCAAACGTGTGCCACGACTGGTCGGCCAGCGTCTGGTCGTCGATGGGTTCGTCGGACTCGTCGTCGCCGTCCTTCTCATCCTTAATGACGGGCCGTTCGCGGCGTCGGTTGAGGTCTTCGTGGAGCACATCCAAGAGAAAGGCGCAGAACTCTTGGGCGTCCTGTTGCATGTAACTCGAAAATGTCGAACACTTTTCGCCCATCCGTTCCTTCAGCTTCACGGGCGCCACCGATGTCTCCGTTCCCGACCACAGCTGTCGCATCAGATCGGCGAACGTCCGACAGATAACGCCTCCCGAGCCGAACGCGTTGGTCGTATTGATGTCCGGCACATAACTACCCGCTGTTTGACATAAACAAAGAGTTCAAATATTGATATCAATGTAACGTTAATTATAGAGCGATGCAAAACAACGAAAGGGTGGCTCACATGTAAAGTAGTCCCGAAAGGGGTCGGTGTTTGAAAGGCACTGAACGACAGAATTCATAAAACAAGTGTTGCCTAAATTCTGTAAACCCGTGTAACCGACGGCTTTGGGCCGCACTTTGCGCGGAGGGGTCTGAGCGGTGGCCGCGTTATTGTTATCGTTGGGCACCAGAACTATCTCTTTGCCGTGCGATGAGGTCTCGTCGGCCACTTTGGACACATGATTGGCGCTGGTGTTGATCCACTGCTGGATTGCGTCCGATTTGGGTGATAACGGCTTCACATCGTTCGCATGCTTTGACATATACCACGCGTTGGGCTCCTCTTTGTCGAAACGGTTCCAACGAAACTGCAAACATTCCTTCTTCTTGAGCCTAAATTCAATCTTCACAATCGATACAACGAAATCACATTCAGACGGGATTACTGTTCCGCTAATTGGCCACAAAAACAAATAAAACAATGTTTTAATAATGCATTCAATTTTGCGCTTTAATTATCATTACTAAAGAGTCCGCCGCCAGAGATGCCATGTGTTATTGGGGTCACCGACGACTGTGTAGCGGAACTCAATCACGTCTTCGGCGAACTTAACGCGAATCTCATCCACACGCTTAACAAAGACATACAACCGCAGCATATCGTCCGTCTGGAAAATGCAAAATATGTCATTCAAATACATTTCCTCTGCCATCACATCACAAAAAACGAGTTTGAGGGCATCGGTAGGCAATGCTATCAACACAACAAATAGTATCAAAACAGTGGCTAAACCTCAGCGATGTCTGTCTTATGTTCGCGCGACATGTCAACCATAGGGGAGTCGCCGTCGGCGGTCATCGCAGACCTCTCATCCGTCTCGACGCCATCGTTGCGGTCGACGACCTCTTGCGGAGGGTTTAGGTCGAGGTTGAGCTCAATATCGGTCAGACCAGTGGTCTCGTCGATCATCAGCTCCACGTCTGACGTGTCGTTATTATCATTGATGTCGCCGTTCATCCGGAGTGTTGCGGACGGCCTGTTGTCATACGTATTGCGGTTATCGATGGCTTCGTCGCAATCGGAGTCCATGTGTTCGTCGGCCGGCGTCGACGGATCCGACTCGAGGCCATTGGTGTCGCCGATGGACTGTTGCGGACAGCTTTCGATCAATTTGAAGCAATCAGAGGCCGATTGGTTGCTATAATTGCACCCACTTTTAATTGTTTTATGATTAAAATCGATGCAAATTTATATAAAGTCTTTCTTTTTATGATATATAAGATTATATTTAATTTTTTTGTTATTGTATTTATAAAAAACGTTTTTCGGAATAAATGAAAAATTGTGTTTTAATTCATATGAAATGTGCTTTTAAGACATTGTCTTTACTTTTATCTCGGAGAGTATTTGGCAATAAATGGATTCAAACTAATGGTCAAAATAATTGGGAATAATTTGAGTGAATATGAAATTTATTTCAGATATAATTGTAACAAATAATTTGCATTATTTCTCATAAGAGTCTGTCTTCTGAAGGACTGGTCCACTCATCCCACGTGTGGTCATATAGTTGAAGCGGTGCTTCCACTGTGGTTGTCTTCAGCGGTGGCCATTCCCTCACCGATGACTGGACCGTCACTGAGCCCGTGTTCGTTGGCCTGTATTTGACGGCCCAATTGGTCAATAGTGTTCCACTGGTTTTGCATCCAAGCGATCTCATCAACACTATAGCCAACACTCCATCGAGTTGTGAGCGTTGAATGACTTGAAAGTGAGACAAGTGAAGTGACACTCGCCGTCGACTCCAGCTGCCCATCCGTGGCGAACGTTGTGTTGTATTCCGACATATAATTATTGAATATATCATAATATTTTTGTTCACTGGTGTTGGCGCTCACATTGGACAACATGTCCAGCGTCTCGACCGATAGCACCCGTCGGCACTCAGCTTTAGTCAACTCCCTCTTCAATCGCTCGATCCGTCTCTTCTCGGTCTCGATTCTGGCAGCGATTTGTCTCATGAGTGCCAGCGATGGAAGCGATATAATGTCAAAGTCTTCCGCAGATCTGAATGAGTGTCGAATCACTTGAAAGTCTTGTCGACAAACCGGACATTTCATATGACTTCGGGTCCACTCGAGCAGACATTTGAGACAAAACTGATGACCGCATCCATCGGTTTGGCATTTGTTCTCTATTGCAGACCAACAGATCGGACACTCGACCGACTCGTCCGCTCCCGACTTCCCATCCGTCTGTTCTTTATCTTCTGCTTCTATTATAGTATCCATTGATTCAAACGGATTACTATTTCTGCCATTAATTTCATCAATATTCTCAAATTCAAACCGAATATTCATTTTTGTCACGATTACAACAATAATATTGATCTATAATTAATTCATTTATATCCCATTTATAATTTTTAAACACAATTCTTTATAATTAGAAAAATGTTTTTAAGTTAATGTGTACGCCTCCTATACTCTGCTAAACATTTAAATGTGTGATTGTATTATCCGTCTAGTGTTGTACTTATGGCATATTCCTATAAACAATGTTAAGCAGCAGACAATTTCCTTAACTGTCATTTAGTTTTATATTCATTATATTAAGTTACAAGAAATTGTTTCTATGATTGCATTTATAAAACCCGATTTTCCCGTTAAGTTAAATCACGTTTTAATTTATATGAAACTCACTTTATAGACATTGAATTTGATTTTATTTTCCAGAATTTTTAATTTTAAATTACTAATAATAATGATACAAATAATTGGACATGATTTGAGTGGAAATCTACTTTATTTCAGATATAATTGTGACAAATACTTGCATTGCATTCTGATATACAGCATATGTGTGTAATGTCTGTCTTAATCTACAAACTGACTCCAAAAGGCCATCGAATGGGCGCTGAATTCAGAAGTGTTAGAACCGAGTGAAGAAGTGGTACCGCTCTCAGTGTCTTCACTATCGTCAGAGTTATCGGTTCCCACGTCTTCGGAGGGAGAGGGAGGGGCGAGGAGTAGACTTGTCTCAGAGAGTTGGACACTTTGGTCGTCGCTGTCGCTGGAGTACAAGTCACGCATCGAAACAGACTCGATGTCAGTGTAGTCATCATCGCTCAAATGGTATAGAGAAAGAGTGGTACCACTAGTCGACCCTAGTATACGCGTTATGCCGCTGTCGGAAGTGCTCAATTCAGCCCCTGTGCCGTATTCTGTCATATAATTATTGATTATCGCCATAAAGTCCTGTTCACTAGTGTTGGCGCTCACATTGGACAACATGCCCAGCGTCTCGACCGATAGCACCCGCCGGTACTCGGCTTCAGTCAACTCCCTCTCCAAACGCTCGATCCGTCTCTTCTCGGTCTCGATTCTGGCGGCGATTTGTCTCATGAGTGCCAGCGATGGAAGTGATATAATGTCAAAGTCTTCCGCAGATCTGAATGAGTGTCGAATCATTTGGAAATCTTGTCGACAAACCGGACATTTCATATGACTTCGGGTCCATTCGAGCAGACATTTGAGACAAAACTGATGACCGCATCCATCGGTTTGGCATTTGTTCTCTATTGCAGACCAACAGATCGGACACTCAATCGACTCGTCCGCTCCCGACTTCCCATCCGTCGGTTCTTTATCTTTGGTTTTTATTATAGTATCCATTGATTCAAACGGATTACTATTTCTGTCCTTAATTTAACATAAATTTCATATTTAAATTACATTAACTTTTGTCACGATTAACAATATCTATTTGTTTTTCATTTATTTAATTTACAATATATTCTATTTATTCTATTCGGTTATAAATGCATTCAAAATAATGATGAGAATAATTGAATATAATTTGAATGCAAATTAAATTTATTTCAAATATAATTGTGACAAATAATTGCATTGTTTCTCATATACAGTATATGTTTGTAATGTCTGTCTTAATCTATAGAAGGATTCTATAAATCAGTTGAATCGGCGCTCAATTCAGAAGTGCGCGAACGGACAGAAACCTCTCTGACGTCTACGGGAGGACTTCCCTCAGAGGATGAACCGAGGCGTGCACTGAGGAGTTCACTGGTGGTTGAACTGTGGGGTGGACTGTAGGGTAGACTGTAGAGTGGTCTGGCCCGCAGGGACTCAATTTCAGGCGTTAAGCGAAGAACAGTCTGTCCTGACGTCGAGGTCGAATTGTAGTCTTGAGCCTCTGCCCCAAACCCTGTGCCGTATTCTGTCATATAATTATTAAAAATCTCCATAAAGTCCTGTTCACTGGTGTTGGCGCTCACATTGGACAACATGTCCAGTGTCTCGACCGACAGCACCCGTCGGCACTCGGCTTCAGTCAATTCCCTCTCCAATCGCTCGATCCGTCTCTTCTCGGTTTCGATTCTGGCGGCGATTTGTCTCATGAGTGCCAGCGATGGAAGTGATATAATGTTGAAGTCTTGAGCCGATCTGAATGAGTGTCGGATCATTTGAAAATCTTGTCGACAAACCGGACATTTCATCTGATGTCGGGTCCATTCGAGCAGACATTTGAGACAAAACTGATGACCGCATCCATCGGTTTGGCATTTGTTCTCTATTGCAGACCAACAGATCGGACACTCAATCGACTCGTCCGCTCCCGTCTTCCCATCCGTTGGTTCTTTATCTTTGGTTTCTATTATAGTATCCATTGATTCAAACGGATTACTATTTCTGTCATTTCATTTGTTGTTATTTTTTTAAATTTAAATTAAATTAATTGTTGTCACGATTACAACAATAATATCGTTCAACCTTTAATTTATTTACAAATATTTTTATCCCATTTATTATGAAATGGTTGAGTGATGATTGATTCATCACTGATGAATAAATTAAAACCAATGATAAGAATAATTTGTTAATTTTAATCAAGAATAATGGTTAAAATAATTCGGAATAATTCGAGTGAAAATGAAATTTATTTCAGATATAATTGTGACAAATAATTGCATTGCATTCTGATATTCAGTATATGTTTGTAATGTCTGTCTTAATCTATAGAAGGATTCAATAAATGAGTTGAATCGGCGCTCGATTCAGAAATGCGCGAACGGACAGAAACATCATCTTCGGTGAAGACGTTTGTGGGGAGACTTCCCTCAGCTATGGGTGGACTGAAGGGTGTGCTGTCGAGACTGTTCCGCAGGGACTCATTTTCACGCGTTAAGCGAATAATGGTCTGTCGGGATGTTGTGCTGTCAACAGACGATTCATTGGTAACAATTGAATTGTTGTCTGGAGTCTCTGCCCCAAACCCTGTGCCGTATTCTGTCATATAATTATTGAAAATCGCCATAAAGTCCTGTTCACTAGTATTGGCGCTCACATTGCACAGCGTGTCCAGTGTCTCGACCGACAGCACCCGTCGGTACTCGGCTTCAGTCAACTCCCTCTCCAATCGCTCGATTCGTCTCTTCTCGGTCTCGATTCTGGCGGCGATTTGTCTCATGAGTGCCAGCGATGGAAGTGATATAATTTTGAAGTCTTCTGCAGATTTGAATGAGTGTCGGATCACTTGGAAGTCTTGTCGACAAACCGGACATTTCATTTGATGTCGGGTCCATTCGAGCAGACATTTGAGACAAAACTGATGACCGCATCCATCGGTTTGGCATTTGTTCTCTATTGCAGACCAACAGATCGGACACTCGACCGACTCGTCCGCTCCTGACTTCCCATCCGTCGGCTTTTTATTTTCTGCTTCTTTTATAGTATCCATTGATTCAAACGGATTACTATTTCTGTTATTAATTTTAACATTTTTCTCAAATTTAAATTATATTCATTTTTGTCACGATTACAACAATTATATTTTTTTTGTTTCTTATTTATTTTATTTAAAGTTTATTTTATTTATAATCTAGTTATAAATTGAATCAAGAATAATAGTGAAAATAATTTGGCATAATTTGAGTGAAAATCATATTTATTTTAGATATAGTTTCGACAAATAATTGCATTATTTCACATATATGTGTGTAATGTTTGTCTTAATCTACAAATGGATTTAAACATCAGTTGAATCGGCGCTCAATCCAGAAGTGCTGACATTGTCTTCGTCTTCAATGGCTTGCAGTGCCCGACGCCCTAGTGATTCATAATACTCTATTATGCTATTATGTCTGGACTGATCGGGTAAGTTATCACGATTTGTGATCGACGATTCATTGGTAACAATTGAGTTCGAGTCTGTAGTCTCTGTGCCAAACCCTGTGCCGTATTGTGTCATATAATTATTGATTATCGCCATAAAGTCCTGTTCACTGGTGTTGGCGCTCACATTAGAGAACATGTCCAATGTCTCGACCGATAGCACACGTCGGTACTCGGTTTCAGTCAAATTTCTCTCCAATCGCTCGATTCTGGCAGCAATTTGTCTCATGAGTGCCAGCGATGGAAGTGATATAATGTTGAAATCTTCCGCAGATCTGAATGAGTGTCGAATCATTTGGAAATCTTGTCGACAAACCGGACATTTCATCTGATGTCGGGTCCATTTGAGCAGACATTTGAGACAAAACTGATGACCGCATCCATCGGTTTGGCATTTGTTCTCTATTGCAGACCAACAGATCGGACACTCGACCGACTCGTCCGCTCCCGTCTTCCCATCAGTTGGCTCTTTATCTTTGGTTTCTATTATAGTATCCATTGATTCAAACGGATTACTATTTCTGTCATTAATTTTGTAAATATATTTTTAAATTAAATTTGATTGTTGCATAAGTATATACATTATAAAATTGTTAGTTCTCGAGCTTTGATTTATATCATTTATATGGCATATGTATCCTTTGCATAAGTGTACCAAACCTTCGCCAACCCATCCTCTCATTTGGATGATTAAATGTGTTGTCATCTATCCGTTCAATAGTTTTTATATGCATTAAAACGTTTTCTATATGTGTTAAACTGTGTTTAATTAAATAGTTTCTTATTTTACTAACATTTTACTAGTTGTCTGTAATTGTTTTGAAAAACCTTTACTAATTAGTAATTACTTTTAAATTGCATTTCTTATAATTGTTTGTGTATAAGTGTTTGATAACAACGAAATTTCATTTATTCACATTTTTAGCTAATTTAAAAATTAATAACTTAAAAATAATTTACATTTAAAACCTTTGCAATATTTTTATGTCTTAATATTAAGAAATAATTTTCAAAAAATTAATTAAACTAAATTGTATTCACAAAAAGTAATATTATTTGCAATTCTAATTGAATGCTTGGATAAAGTGGTCGATTGTCTTAAACATATAAAAATATGTTAAGACTAATGCTTTTAAACACTTATATTACTTGTATATGACATGTATTTCTTGACAGAAACGGACAGTGAAAACAGTGAAACACTTTAACAAGAATTGATTGCAATTACATTTCTATGACAACTATTTATTACCACAAAAACAAATTGTTTTCTAAATTGATTTTTACGGCAAAATCAATACAACGTTATGTGATAAATGAAACATACATTTCACACAACACTTAAACACATATATCTTTTATCACTAATATTTTCTTCTTCTTCTAAGGATTCGCACCAAAAGAACATAACATTAAAGATATTACACAAAATCGAAACTCAATTCTCAATACATTTATAGTATGTATTGAGAGAAAGAAGAAAACCTACAAAATTAATGTTTCATTTATATCCAGTTTTTAGATAAAGAAAACGCCGATACAAGCGCTAAACACGGATAGACACAAGTCGTGGTCAGATATATCATCGGCAGTGGACAAAGGAATGTCGAGCTCCGGACGGCAAGTACTAAACTACGGCCGAAGCGGTTCCGATGAATGCCTTATAAACCAACAGCAATACGGCGGCAATGACTACACCGATCCCGTCGAGCGGGTGTTTAACCATCCCTTCTTCAAGGACTCGGACTCCGACGACAACGACTACGACCACACATACACCACAACCTTCAGGACCACAACGTTCTCGACTTCACGTAAACAAGAGTTTTACTACAACTACTGGAACTATCCAAAGCTGCCGGACAACCGGGAAGTGTTGCCCACATCTATACGCCAATGGATCAACTCATACAAAGACCCGGAGCGCGAGTTCTGCAAAGTGGTGGCCATTTTCCTGTTCTCGTTTATAGTGGGTCTGCAGGTCTTCTCGTACGCGGTGTCGATGTTTGACCTCAACCTCAATATACCCTATTGTGGCGAAATCCGCGGTCAACTCGAGTTTGAATGTCACTTATGGCTGTTTCTGTTCGCTTGGATCGCGTGTTTCATCTGCACAGCAGTGGTTCTGGTGCTCAAGTATTTGCTTTATTTGTGCCGCTCCTACACCACCACCAAAGAAAAGACTATATAATTAATTGTATTCAATACGTACTGTACGTCCAGATTATTTTTCTCAATACACACTATTAACTATAAATTACCATATTTTATGTTTGGCTCTCACAACCAAACTGACCGCTCAAACGTACAATTAATTAATGTTTTCTATTATATTGTTATAATTGTAATCAAAATAATTTATTTTTTCATATTCAATTTGTTTTATGAAATTAACAATTTAATTGTATAACATTGTGAATATTTTTCAATATTAATCTTATTATAAATGCTATTATATTTGTTATAAACAATTTGCAACTTTTAACGCACACAAAACACGATAATATTTGTGATCGATTTGCTATTTACATGTTATATAAATGTCATTATAATTTGTAATTATAATTAATATAAAGATTTGGTTGTAAATTATATTTATACATATTTTTATATATTTATATAGCAATTTATAAACTTATAATTATTGTGCTAATTAGTTATTTATAATCCGTTTTAACACAGTAAGTAATTTTTTATCCAATTTATATAAATGTAGTCTAAGTCACGTATTAATACAACCATTGATCACAAAATCAATAAAATATGATAAAAATATATCTATAATTAATATGACAATCAATTGTATGAGTGATTTCTAAATGTCAGCATCGATTGATAGTAAGTTGAGAGACGGCCTGACTATAACTCGGGGGCAACTCATACTTGGGAGGCATCGAGAACTCCGACGGATTCAGTGATATCTGGGATCCGGTCCTCGTCTGCGGCATACTATCAGACATATCGATATTATAGACACTACTATTGTGTCTACTGTTATAGCGGCTGTCGTTTCGGTGCGTTTGTCCGTTCAATTCAATGAGAGAGCCATTTGTGCCATTATTTTTGGTCATATAGTTATACAGAAGTTTTAAACATATGATTGCGAACACGAGTGCGAAAATGTAGCCAAAATGTGTGGCCCGGGGCTGAACCGACTTCGGAGACATAAATAGAAATACAATTATAAATATAAGGCTGAGCAGAATGATCAAGATCCAATTGGTCTTGTTCTCGTACACGTGTAGGAATGTCGGAGAATTGAATCTAGTTTATTTAAAAAGACAATATATATTTTATTCATTTTATTAATAATTATTTCGTAATAAATGACTTATAAATAGATATTTATATATTATAATAATTTATAATTTATATTTCAAGTCATTTCTTTCACACAGAATATAGTGAAATTATAATCAATCATGTGTATTTTATAACAATGTATAATATTACAAAATAAAATATTTCCTAAAATAATTATTGTAATTCAATACACACTATAGCCCTCTAATTAGATTTTATAACTAGATTAATGGATTAAAGACTTACGTATGTCGGGCTCCGGCGCCACTTCCTCTATAAACTAAGACAGGCATTGGTTTTAATGATAAACACAAATATAGAAAACAAATACTATCTACGGTTTGAATCTACTTTTATAACAATATAAATCAACACATTTGAATGAATGCAAAACTTTGACAAACAGTTTAACAATTGAACAAAACAACAACAACTAGTCTTAAAACAAAACATTATTGTGAGACTAAATTGTCATTATTCTTATATCAACTCTATTTAATGACAGCGATTGCATAACACCATACAAATGTTGGTAAATGAGAAACACAATTCTCGTACATTCATATATATTCTATATATTCTGTAATATTCTGTAATATTCTGTACATATATTCTGTATATACAAAGCGTGTATAAGAGTGTATTCCTGGGAAGCCTTATGAAATGGTTGGCGTCATTGGCGCGGATCGATGGGCCGATGTTTCCCAGACCTCATGTAATATCACATCACATGTGGAGGCAATGAAATGAGATTTTTATTGATTTCATTATAAACTGCAAATCCACTATTCATTAGAAAATTCTATTATAATTATTCACTAAAATATTTGTATACTTTGTTTTGTTTGTTAAACGCTATTAAAAGCGTTGCATTGAATACAGATTTTATGGAAACATTGAAATTCTTGTTTTGTATTTTTATTAAAGTCTTTTTGAATACAGAATTATAGAGAATCGTAAAAATAGTGAATGACATTAATTCTCGTGTTTTGGTTATTCACTAATGAGTTGATGGTATGTATGGATTGTTAATGAATACTATGGGTATATGTTTTGGTAATCCGGAGGCAATACTTTACTTTACTTACCATTTGTTAAGAAATACATAACAAGTATTGTAAACATTCGTGTATTTATCGGATGAATGGTTTTATAATTATTTTAATGATGAATATATGATGCGAGGTCTCCGGAGGTAGCTCGGCTCCGGGTGGTGATAACCTCTCGGGGGTGTTATTGGGTGATCTTCTGGGAGATCACAAGCATACTTTATACAAACTGTTACTTATGGTTGAGTTCCTCGGGGCCTCAGGCCAGTCCCACGGCGCGTCTGCGGCCTTCACGGCGGTCACAACGCGTGTCTCACCTCCCAGGCCACAGTCTGTGGACCAAGAGTTACTCGCGGATCACTACGGGTGATTCGCGAAGGAATAGACACGACGTTTTGACTGAAAATACTTTTATTGTGTTTGGTTTGACGGGTGGGGAGGAACTGATCGCTTA